TAAACATATTTGTGTGAAGGTAGCTAAACATATCTCTGGATCCCCGAGCCGTGTTTAGATATTTTGTAATTGTGTATTGTAATTCATTATAATTTTGTATGTATTTTTAATGGATTTAATCTTAATTTATATTTATATACATTTATATTATTATTATTATTATTCAAAATTTCTTTTAAGATTTATGTCTAAAATGCTTAATAATGAAAATTGTATGATAATACTAATAAAATAGGCTAGGTTATAAGTTTTGTTATAAACTTTACTGTTACTTCACTAGTAAATAAAATATATTGTATGAATATTACAGTATATTTTATCATTTTACTATTTGTAATAAGTAAATATTTTATTTTATAAATATTGCTTCATTTCAACTCCAATGTTCAAGGTATTGATTGTATTGCACTAACAATTGATGTCTTAATAAAATGAACTATGATGATAGTTTATAAAATTTAAAGGTTATCTACACTAAAAATGCACCAGTTCATAAAAGTTTCTATATAAGAAAGTATTTAACTATTTATGTGTTACAATATTAAAAACTCTAGAAAATTATATTTAGTTTCACTAACTAAGTTAATTTGAAAATGAAATTAATAGTAGTATTGGCATTGATTTCAATAGTTTGTGCGGATTTTGATATCAAAGACTATCTCGATGTGATCAATTCACGAAACTTTACGGGAAAAGTAGTTTTGGTGACCGGAAGTAGTTCTGGAATCGGGGAGGGGATCACAAAACTATTCTCTATATTAGGGGCCAATGTTGTCGTCACCGGTAGGAAAGAAGCGGATGTCCAGAGAGTTGCTAAAGAAGTGCAGGAATTGTCGCCAAAGAAACTAAAGGTTTGTAAACATAAAACCTGTAATTAATTTCAATGTAATAATAATATTAATTTCATTTATACTGAACAGCCATTAGAAGTGGTCGGAGATCTAACACAAACTGAATTCATCAACACTTTGATCTCAAATACTATCAAAACTTTTGGCAAATTAGATGTATTGGTGAACAACGCCGGTAGTGGTTCACAAAATAATATCACACAAAAAGATGTAATGCAAGTCTGGGATCAGATCTTCGCCATAGACTTGAGAGCAGTCGTCGAACTGATCCACGAATCGGTTCCACATTTAGAGAAAACTAACGGCACTATCATTGATATCTCGAGTTTTTTGGCCTTAGCGCCGGTATTTATTCAATAATAAAATGCTATTTATTTAATATATTAATATATTTAAACTTACTTTAACTAATAGATGGCTCAAACACTGGCGTTCGGACCCGCAAAAGCCGGTTTAGATATGATTACTAGAGTACTGGCCCTCGAATTGGGAGCCAAAGGCATTCGTGTCAATGCTATCAAGTAATTCATTATTATTAGCATGGTAGCATTATGAAAATGTAATACTAAAACATTTGTTTTCTAATAGTCCGGGTATTATACATACGACTGATACACCGGACCCCATGACTGCACTTATCTATGAAGTGGGCAAGAAAATAGCACCTCTTAAGCGATTGGGACAACCATTAGATATCGCAAAAGCCGTGGCATTCCTGGCCTCAAGTGATGCCTCATTCATAACCGGCGCTAATCTGGTGGTCGACGGAGGAGTTGTCTATAATGTCGGCGCTTTTAATGCTTTGTAAATTTGATTCATAAAGTTATATTTACTAAAGTACAGTAAAGGTCCTTTAAAAGCAACTTGTATTTGCCAGAAAAATTTGTTGCCTATAAAGGAATTTGCCTATATGAGACTAAACATTCATTTTTATTAATAATACATAAAATACAGTTTTAAAGCAAATAATCATTGATATTAGCATGTTTAGCATTTAATTTGACTAAATATTTTTAACACAATATTTGGTGCCAAAAATATGGCCTTTCCTATGATTTTTTATAATTTTGAAATACCCTATAATTGGATATACAGTAGAATAGGAAGTTGGTAACCCTTGTCCGACCCGACCCTTAAAGGTTTCGGGCGGGAACGGGTTTGACTATAAATGATCGGATCGGGAAAGGGTTTCCCGATATATAAATCAAAACCCTTAAAAAGC